CTTCCGATCACCGAGGGCCGAAGAAGTGGAGGAAGCTGGTGGTGGTGGCGGTGGAGGTGGTGGTGGCGGTGGTGGAGGAGCGGGCGGAGCAGATGGAACGGATAATGGTGCAGGAGAAGCCGGTGGGGGTGGCGGCGGTGGGGCAGGAGGGGCTGCAGATATCGTTGGCGGCGGCGGCGGTGTTGGAGGAGCATAATGAAGAGAGCCTAGACCAAAGAAGCATTCTACTGAGCCGAGGACACCAACATCAAAAAATGCAAATTCACTTAAAAATTTTAACCTAATTATCGTCCAGTCCTATAACAGCTGTAGATGCTCACAAACTAACAGAAACTATGATTTTAAATTTAAATGATTCCCGAAAAAATATCAAACAGACGTGTACGAAACGAGGCGGGAAAAGCGAACATGCGTGTCTCCCTCATTGCACTCAAGATCATTTGCGTGCTTCTATACCCAACAAAAAAACGTTAGAATTTTAGTCATACATTGGGATATTTATGTATGTGAATAGTCATAGACCAATGTGGTGATCAAACTGACGGAAGCGATCCACCGGCTGGCGGAATTTACCCATAAAACACGAGCAAGGTCAAAGGAAGGTCAAGTAAATCACCCCAAACAAGTAAATAAAGGACACAATTAGGGGAAAATCAGGTAATTCGAGAAGTAAAACAGCAAATTGAAAGAACACGTCCCAAAGTTGCGTCTACAGAACAGAACTGTGGGAAAAGCCAATTTATAAGCACGTAACCCGAACTTTTCCCATTGCTGTAGCAAATGCGCATACAAACTGTTCACTGAAGGCACGGTAAGGTCAATGGCTAAAACGGTGACAGACGGATATGAGATGTGAATATTACTTCGGGTAGACTTTAAACAGGATAAAATTGCGAGCGGAAACAAGTTAACGACACACGATATGACGCGAATGCACTCGTTGCAACAGATACATATCCTCCGACACTTTTAGAAAGTTCTTCAAGGTAAGTAGACTGTTAAGCATTTGATTAAGCTGCTATACTTAAGTGGGGTAAAATAAACAATAATGAAATAAATGTAGTGGAAAAGAACATGTTACGATAACCTCCCCAACAGAATTAAAAAAAGATTACAGGCTGAAATATACGCAGGAGTTAAGAGCATATTTTGGCTCTGCGCCAAAATGCAGGGGAAACGGAGCTTAACGAGAAACCATCTGCTAGCGATACAGCGCAGTTGCAAAGAAAGAGACAAATTAACAGTCAAAAGCCAGAAAACAATAGTAATGATTAGGTGCGAAACACTACATCGGTAAATCAAAAGGAAGCGGCGTCTTACAATGAACAACGCAATCAGTGAACTAAGTAGGGTAGAGTTGACAATCGAAGACGAGTGAATAGGCTAAACGTATAATAAAGTTGTGAACAGTGTTTATAGGGTGGAAGGAGGGTCAATTCGACCAAAGGGAGAAAGCATCGTGCAGCAGCCCTCCCCAAAAAAGGAGGTAGCGACAACAATCTCAAAGAGCGATGGCCAAGAGCGAAATCAATAAAAAGGTGTCCACCAGACATATTTTTAGTGCGATACAAAACCTCATAAATGCACTGGAAATGAAGTAGCATTAAAATAAAGTTAAAACCAGTAAAGACAGGTAATGTACAAGCATGCGGCTGACAAATGGTCAAGTTGCAGTCGGTGGCCGGTACGTAGGGATGTCTGGAAACGATCAATAGACGAAGAGATGTACACAGTCACAACACCAACTTGCCCACAGACAGGCATATGGGAAGGGTGAGTCACGTTCGCCTGCATCAACCCGTCAATAATGACATAGAATACCCTAAGCCCGTTGATGAGTGATAAAATGATGCGACTAAGGGATGAGTGACAGGATAAACTGGGAATTATCCTACATCAGGTCCATGTTTGGCAGGATGTAATATTACGTCGACGAAAGCGAAATAAACATCGCGATTTATGCTTTGAAATGCACAGAGGCGACAGAAATTATATGGTTAGGAGGTGAAGCCGAGAGCCTTACGAAATACAAGCGTAACAGTTCTGAGAAGATGGAATAGAAGGTCTGGTGTGCATGTATTGGTAACGAATTTCGTCACCCAACAAGGTAAATGTTAGTTAAGCACTTACATTTGAAAGAAATAGCGCAAATAAAAAGATACTTTTGTAATGCTAAAACGAGACAAATGAAACAGATTTGATTGAGAGTTATTTGAAGGCAGCAAATGAACGGTCACCAAAAAACCAACACAACCATAACAGACGAAAAGTAAGAGAAGAGTTCAATTACGAATGGTAGGAATGAACGATTTTAAACCGCATTTCCAAAAGTTGACATTTACCATCCATCTCCGTGTCCACGAAAGAGGTGTTGTCGCGCAATTCGAGAGCTAATGATGCGAGAGCACTCAGATTACCGAGGGCGATGAATATAGCAAGACAACCACTTACCGAAGTAAAGCAATCTAGCAATAAGCCAAAGCGTAATAATCAGCTACCGAAATACTGTTGACATCAAATTCAGATGTCAAAGTTCAGGAAAGATAATTTAAACTCTGCACAGTGTGCTATAATGAACTTGGCGTGAGGCTAGTAAACAAAGCGCTCGAAGCTACGCCTAAAATGTAGTCGGAACGCCAACAAAGGATGACCGTAAAATCGCAGTAAAGCTAAGACCAATTCGCCAGCAACCCAAATTATACAGAATCTGGTCCATAAAAAAGCAGTATCAACTAAGAATATGGACGCAGCCGGTAAAACTGGATGTGCGTTCAAAAATAATGTTGGCGTTGTCACAACACGTAAAATAGGGAGGATATTTATTCCAATTCATTGATTAAATAGTGCAAACTGTTTTAAAAAACCAGAAAAGAAGACCCAA